GTGTGTGTGTGTAATACTCCGTCGGGTAGCCGAAAATGTTATAATTTGAGGAAACATTCGTCCAAAATATGATAAACATTCTTCTCTAACATTTAACTGAGGTCATATATCTCACCAAAGGCAAATGTAAATGTAAATTTGGTAAGTGTGGTGTAAGTATGTCAGCTGGGGTGGTGTGTGAAAACCGCAGTCCTCGTTAAACTCAAATTTCCACCGGATATTCGAATAAAGTCCAAGTATAATCAAAGACACAAGAGATGACACTGCGCAAAGTAGGAAATTCCAAGTCTTTACGAATATAAACATCTAACCAGCTGAAAAACCCAAAATCTCTACAGGCGGGGAATCGGATAGTGATGTTTCAGGACGTCCCGGACGCTTAGTTTTTGGTCGTTTGAAGTGCTAACCATCTACTGCTAGGTGATTCGGAGTGTCGGGTGTTTATATTTGTTTACCATATATGTCTTCTAATTTCTTCTCTAATGGGTGGGTCTCACAACGCAGAAGTAATTTGAACTTCCTATATATAGAGAGTATCATACACGGAAGTATGATTCTATACTAATATAGATATGGAGTTTTAATGTAGTACATACAATATCTAACTTTAAGAGAACTGGGGGCGCATGAAAGTCTAAATTTCCCGACTTGAGGAGAAGAAAGTTATTTGATTGAATGTTCGTCGATTTACATTATAAGATTAATAGATTAGGGAGAGTCAACTAGATGATGAGCTATATTGAGTCGGTTTACTAGTCAAAGACCAGGAGTGGAAATATTACGTGTTGACTGGTACATCGGGACACGTCACTACCAGTTTTCACAGTACACTGAAGTCACTTCGAGGGCTACCAGTCAACACGTAATATTTCCACGTCCGGTCTTGACGTAGTAACCGAACTCAATTAGCGTCACATTCTATGACTCTCCCTCCAATTATCTAATTTATCTGTAAAATCCGGGACGACACCTTCATATGAAATAACGTTTCTTTCCTCAAGTCCGGTGAAAATTTAGACTCTTACATCCCGCCCCCATTTCTCTTAAGTTAGATATCAGGACACAAAAACACAATCAAAGTTTAAAGAATTTTACATTACTTTCCGTTTTGGTATGTACCTCCATCTGGAAATCGAGGAAGTTCAAACTTACTTCTCGTGTAGACTCCCACCCATTAAGAAGAAATTAAAGAATCATATAAACAAGCATATAAACACGACACCTCCGAAATCCAGCCAGCAGCATGGGGGTTAGCGACTTTCAACGACCCAAACTAAGCGTCCGGGACGGTGTGAAGACATGCACTATCCCGTTGCCCGACTGTAGAGGATTTGGTCAGCTGGTTGTAATGTTTATTTCGTGCAAAGACTTGGAATTTTCCTACTTTGCGCAGTGCTCATCTCTGGTGTCTTTTGATTATACTTGGACTTTTATTCGTACCTAATAATCCGGTGCGGAAATTTGAGTTTGAACGAAGGACTGCCGGTTTTCACACACACCCACTGACATACTTACACACACTTACAAATTTACATTTACATTGCCTTTTGGTGAGATCCGTGTGTGTGTGTGTGTGTGTGTGTGTGTGTGTGTGTGTGTGTGTGTGTGTGTGTATGTGTGTGTGTGTGTGTAGGTCTGACCTGAGCGCCCTCGGCCTGCTCCAGCATCTCCTCAAACTCCTCGTAGTCTTCGTCCTCTGGGTCAGCTCCAGACAGCCGAGCGGCTCGGGCCATGAAGTACGGAGGCAGCTCTCCGATGGCGGTGCCTGCACCCTGAACGAGCCCCAAGAGAAACGCTCAGAGTCAGAGTTTGAACATCTTTTTACCACATTTACCCACAGGCAACTTCTAATGCAGCGTTGGAAAGTAACTTCTATTCCATTACTGTATTTGAGTGAAAAGGACGAGGTACTTGTTCTTGAGTATTTTATTTTTTATGGTGCATTTATGGTAAAAAATTTACTTTTTACTTGCAGCATTTACCTAATACAAAATATAAACCAGCTAATTAATTATGATGTATAAGAATACTTAAGAGTATAACAAGTTAAGTAAGCTTCTCCTGCATGCATTTTAATCCAGTGATTTTATATATTATTCTGAAAATGGCCATTCTGCATAATGAGTACTTTTAGTGTTGGTACTTTAGGACGTATATTTTGCTTCATTTACCTGACCGCAAATAAAATCAATATATATTAATTACGATATCATTAAATCAGAAAGGCTTTACCGGGCCCCCAAAGCTACACAGAATTATATTAAGTAATAAATAAAGTATACATAAATACATTTAAATGAGCTCCACCTTTTCGCACAGCTGCACATTTTTGCTTCAATAATAAGAAAAATAATACAATTAAAAAATATATAAGATTATTAAGTATTATTAATTATTACTATTCTATTATTAATATTAATTATTAAGTAAGTAATAAGAAAAATCAAATGTATTGATTATTTTTGATACTTTAAGTATTTCCATCCCAATACTTTTTTTACTTTGACTTAAGTCACATTCTGAAAGCAGGACTTCAGAGATCTGAGGACATCTCACACCGCTTTGTTCATGCCACTATCAACTTTTTAAGTTTGTACATGTGACTGCTTTGTGTAAAGTATCTTCAGGGGTCCTATACATATAGAAGTATGATAAACGCTTTTGTCCTGGCCCTGGGATAGGCATGTTGAAAAGAGGGTGAATTCATTAGGATGAATGATTCTCACGTGGTCAGTCATGGTTGTCGCACTGCCAAACATTCTTGGCATTGTTCCGCGTGGATCACTGCACAGGCTCTTTATTCAAAGACTCACCCACATGCAGGCCTCCAGGCGGACCTTGGACATGATGGAGAAGAGGGAGATGCTTCCCTCCAGCCCCCCGCCCTGAGGACAGACGATCTGGTCCGGGTACGGAGGCTCGGGGAAGTCTGTGGAGCTGCACTCGTACGCTGCCAGAGTCACTGATGCTATGTGAGGACCCTGAGAGAGGGGAGACACACGGACAGTCAGAATGAATAGTTCTTTATTCCTCCCAGATTTACAACGTTACAGCAAAGGGAGAGGGAAAAGGAAATAAACAAGATTGGAAAGAGTAATATTAATAGAGGAAACTACATACAAGTAAATAAAGAAAATACGGTGTTTCTTGTAAAAAAAGGAGCAGATTTGATTCCTTCTTTATATGCGTTTTTTCCCGCCTCTCAAATACACACATTTCCTATTTTTCTTTGTTTAAAATCATATTTAACTAAATATCTTAATTTGGGCTGACATATAAAAGACACCACCTTGGATTATGAGGAACTGGCTTGGAATGGTTTTACAATTTTTTGACATTTTGTAAACCAAATGTTTCATTATCCTTAGAACTGTTACAAGGTGTGTATTTTGTGTAACTTGCTGCTGTTAAATACCAACCACCTATGTGCAATATGTGCTAGATGCCGTTAATAACTGTAATATATACCTGGCTGCTAAATCATAAGAACTGTTACAGGATGTGTATTTTTTTAAATTATGTAACTTTTTATTATATATTTTTGTATTATATCATAACTTAGTACTTTTTTTTTAATGCATGTCACATATTTAACACAATGTAACATTAAGCTGTCTGTGGCTCTTTTTCCTGCTGTAACTACGCACATGGGACTAACAAAGGGATTCTGATTCATTAATTGATGAAAAGACTATTCATCAGATTTATGAATAAAGAACATGACTGTTAGAAGCAGCCTTAGTTTCATGAACAAATGCAGCTTGTGTGCTAACAGACTCATCAGCACAAACAGCAGCTGAGTCACAGAGTCTCTGACAGGCAGGTATATCATTTCTCTCAGTCAGGACGTCTGGCTGAGCCACCTGGCCTCAACACCAGCCGGCCCACCTGTAACTGTAACACAGATCCTCCTTTATGCCTCCTTCAGGGGATGCACGCAGCCCTGACAGTAGACGGACGGCACACAATGAATCTGTGTTGACTGCAACGGCTCCCCCATAGTTACGCTACACCCCCCCCCACGGAGCGTGAGCACACAGGAGGCTTCTTTAGTTTACACAACACACTCAAACCAAACTCCTTTTAACGGCATTTCTCCATGACACTGAGCTGAGTCAAAATGATGTTCCTCAGACATTTACCAAACATCTTTGTTTAGTAAGTCATGAATCAGCAAGTAAGTACCCATCAAATAAAATGTATTATTAATATTTACAACAGGACAACTTGGCAAAAGCACTGCCAGTAGACCCCTTGAAGCAACAAAGTTCATTGAAGCCCCAATGAATAAAGAGTAATGTCTCTAAATCTAAATTCTGATAGTGAGACAGCAGGGTATATGCAGGAAGCCTGAAGTCAGATGTAATTCCCTCTAAGACCTTTTTTAAGACCCTTTCCATACATTTTAAGACCTCATCACCACTTGGAGTTTTAACCGGTTCCCTTGGCGACACACTTTACCTCACATTGACTAAATACAGTATTGATTGTCCTTCCTCCTTATCTTCCAACCATTTGGACGCAAACTTGCATTTCCCCATAACGATGTTGATTAGCAACCGGCGTAAACGGACCTTCGTGCGCTATCAAGCAGTGAGCGTGCGATGTCCTGTTCAGATGACGTCAAATCCAACGGGATGCCATAAATAAACTACACAGAATCACACTACACACCTACGCAATGATTACATTCAGGCAGACTGTAGAATACAACCTCTTTGGACAATTGATATATTTACTGAAAACAAGCTTCAAAATGTAATACCTTGGAAAATGCCATTTAATTCTTTTTAATAGCCTTCATTTTCGCTAAATTGATTTATCAACTTTTAATACTTTTCAAGACCCCGCGGACACCCTGGACAGCGATACTTCTGTTCACCAAGGTCAGCAAAGCACATTTACATACAAGGACATTTATGTTCACTTACTTTATAATTCTGGTATCTAATTGTTTACCACAAATGTGTATTCAATCTGCCTTCTATCTACACCGTCATGTTGCTGTAACAAAGTACATTTTCATGTACGGGACGAATACAACTTTTCTGATTCTTTTAAAGCACTTGTTTACCCAACAAGGATTATTCAAGTGGATATAAACCCAGGCATACTAGAACTGGTTTAAAAGCCAAAATACTGAAGTGTTGGGTCTAAACATGTACATGTTATTGGGAAGGTGACTCAACAGGAGGGGTCATTAAAACACTTTATCGTCTTAGCTGCATGAATTAGATCAGGAAATTCCACGGAACTCTGCTTTGGCATTTTCACCCAGGAAGGAAATGATGGGGTGTGGTTCCTGTGTGTCACCAAACATTGTACAATACAATCCTCGAGGCATTTTGAAAAACAGCAGCATATTTAGTTTTGACATGCAGTTATCAGAAGTAGTATCCATCATCTTGGCATCATACACACTGGATATTTAAAGTGCAGATAATTGGATTTAAACCAAACAGATGAATAAGCGAAAGGGTTGAATTTACATTATAATCCTTAACTTCAAACATTTAAAAAAGGTAAATATCCAAAAGAAGCTTTCTTAAAACAATGATCCAGAGTCGAAGCAACTGTGTGTTTTTCCTATTTCAACCACACAATTGTGACTGAATCCATCAATAAGATGCAATGACCTCCAAAACATCGTGATGAATCATCAGATAATGCTGATCTGTGAAGCCCCTTTTCCAGGAGCATTATGATATCATCCTCTCTGTGAGGCAATGTATGAATGCTTAAGGATTGAGGTAAATTCAGTTGAACTGTGCAGGTGGGAACTGTGGTTTTTCCTTCAGCATTAACACTGGGGAGTTTCCTGACATTGGCAGCTTCACAGATTCATGCATCAGCTTTGGCATGGACAGCACCGTCCTCATCAGAGAGGAATGCAGTTTCTCCATCACCCTGGAAGAAGGCTGGCTCCGTCCTCTGCTGAAAACCAGCCACTTTGGGAGATGTGTTGGGGAGGAAGACTCTGAATAAACTGTTCTTTATTATGGATAATCCGGCACCACCCTCTCCACCAGCTACTGCATACACAGTGCCTTTGTTGGATTCATTTTTTTTTACATCCGAAATAACTATAACTATGGAACACTCATACATACATACATACACTCATACATACATACATACATTATACATGTGCAAGTCATGAGCAAGTCTTAACCTACAAGTCTCAAGCAAGTCCCAATTCACTGTGGTGAGAGTCAAGCAAGTCAAGTCATTGCTCAGGTCAAGCAAGTCACAAGTCATACGAAATTCTGATGAATAACCCCAGTTTCCGCATTTAAATCATTTAAAATATTGTGGTTATGAAAAGTTTTGTTTTATTTTCAATATGAACAGTGATGGAGAGTGGGGCGCTGAAATGATAACCCGATACGTTCTAAAAAGGGCTCTAAAGTGATAACAGGAGTACAACACAAATATTTGACAACATGTTAAGCCTCCTGCCCTGGCTCCCCTTCAGCAGGCTCACAGCATTTCTCCATGGTCTGTCTAAGGTGCTCCCACATGACACTGTCTCATTGTTTTCCTAACTGTGTCTGTGCACAAAGACATATTGCATCAAAGCCAATACAACAGACTAGTGTATGTACCAGGGCGTATGATGTGTGTGTGTGTGCAGACAGTGCGACATTAAGGTTAAACACATTTCTTTCATTTGGGAACACCCACATATACATATGGAGTTGGACAGATGTGTGTAAATTAATGTTCATGGTGATTTGAAAACAAATGCCGTTGACAACACACACACACACACGCTGCACTTCTCAGAGGCGGAGTTACACGTCCCGCTGCGTCCTGGTGCTGTAGCGATTTCATAAAGTGAATGAGAGTCCGAGTTCGAAATGTATGCACTGCCATTTCCCAACATACACATTACAGTCTGCAATGAAACGGTTGTCTCCTGTGTGCTCCACTTCCTACTTGGCGCTCCGGTAACTTTTTTTCGTGCGAACCAGATACAGTATCTTTTTTTTTCCCATTGCCCTTTAGGGGTTCCGTACAATACAAAAACAAATGCAAATATTCAATTTTAAAAAGTAAAGTCCTTTCGAGTCATCTTTCTCAAGTCAAGTCTCAAGTCATGAATACCAAGTCAAAGTCAAGTCAAGTCTTTTATCAATGTTAGTCAAGCGAGTCTCAAGCCCAAAGATAAGTCATGTCACTCGAGTCCCACACCTCTGGTTAGCGCACCAACATATTGTACATGATAGGCTAAGGGGCGGGACATTTCTAAGCGGTTGACGATTCACAACAGAGACGCCCAGCTAACCAATCAGAGCAGACTGGGCTCTGGTTTCAGACAGAGGGTGAAAAGAGGTGCTGCAGCACAGGCAGTATGAGAACATGTCACAGTAGAGACACTTAATACTAGTATGAACCTGAACATAGGCTTAAAGAAGGCCATTAATGAAATGGAAAGGGGATGATTTTAGAAGTGTATTTAAAATGATAGCTGGAGGAAATGCTATATAATCTTAAGGGGAAAAAGACAAAAGATTCCTGGACTGGTGGGGAAGAGAAGTAAATCCACCACTACTAATGCACGGGCAAAACAAAGCCCCACAAAAACAAATAAGGCAAAAGGTAGGTCACAAGGAAGCACAAACATCCTAAAAAATGTAGCACGACAACAAAGAGAGAGCAGAGAAACCAGTTTGAATTCTAATGTATTATAGTGGGGAAAAGGATATAAAGTAATACACGAAGACAATCGAAGACTTATGCAAACACATGGTGAGCTTCACAGCAATAATGGAAATAGTGCAAATACTCTCGGAGGAAGGTCACAGTTACATCTTTTCCCATGATTTCATTGTGGTGGAAACAGCTGACTCAGCACACCCACATCTGTACATGCTGGAAAGAAGAGAAGCCACATCATCCCCACCCTAAAGCGGACTAGGCTCAACTATGGTTTTATTTTTGCCAAATTCTCCTTTTTACCAAGAGAAATGACACACAGTTAGGTGACTCAGTCATTCTGTGACTGTCGGGGAAATAATTAACGTTTGGTTTAGCACTGACGGGTCACATTTTAAAGAAGACGGAGAATATGGAATGTGACGCCACCCTCTGGCAACTACAGTTATTCACACACAGTGGCTTTATAGAAATACAACTAAGAGTTATTTAGGTACATCTAGGGAATTTAATGTTATTTAAATCTGCCTGCATCTTTCAGAAACACACAGAATTGAGACTGACTGAGTTTATAATGTTTCCGTCTTTGGGTGGTACCACCATGATACAACATGTGAATAAATAGATATGAATGGGGTTTCAGGGGAAATTCATTTTATGTTTTGTTTTTTTTCTCCGGTGGGTAAGTAGATTACTTTTTTACCACTGTTTTCAACTGAACTTGAAACAACATCATAACATAACAAATTATTGATCTAATATATCATTCCATCACTTGCACTATTTTTCCTTTTGTATTGACTTATTACTTGCACTATTTGTTTGTGTTTATCTGTTTTATTGTGTTGCACTGTTGGAGGAGCCTGTGACCTAAGATTTGCATCGTCATAACTACACTGTAGCTATGCACGTATGATAAATAAAAGCCTTGAACTCATTCAAACTACATTTCATGGATATTATTTCCACATATTTCTTTCCATTCTTCCTTCTGCCAACGGTGTCGCAGTTTCTCGTCCTTCCCGTTTTTGTGCTTAGTGCGTACGCATGGGTCAGAGTTTGCGTGGAGGACCGCACATTTTCAAGTTTGTTTTTTATAAATCGCAAACATTGCGCAGAAACTGGCGTACGCCATCTTTTGAGCGTACGCACCGTTTAGAAATGAGGCCCCAGGTCCTTTGAAAGGGGACTAAGCACGGTTTAAGCGTTGCCTTGCCGTGCCCGGCCCGCTTTTGGTTGCGTTTCCACTAGGCGTAGTTTCGGCTAGCGGGTACTTTTTCACAGTTTTCTGGCTCTCCAAAATCGAGGTTCTTTCCGGGCCAACAACCGGGCTGAGTATGCTAAACTAGAGAGAGAATCGCTGGCAACTACAACAAAATGAACATATTTGACCATGATTTAATTGTAATACACGTTTCAAAATGATACCGAAGTAACAACATACTGATACCGGTTAGTAAAAACCATGAATTAATGCTTTGACAAGTCTGCAGACAGACGGCAGGCGAAAAACCTTTTAAAATGCGTGTTTTCTGAATGGAGCTTGGCTAAGCTAACGCAGTATATACTCCGGCCGTCCACACTCACAACAACGGCCTACAGACATAAATAAACCAGCGACTGTATTCTCCATGACACAGACAGTCTGTAGTTTGTACTTGTTTAACTTTTGTCTAGTTTCTGAACAGATATGAGGAGCTGTGAGCTCTGAGGGCTAACAGCTAACGGCTGATGTTGGTTTTGTGTTTCTCATTGAAGATGACGTCACGGCTCCGCCTACACTGCGTAACTATAGTTACTACCCCAGTTCCTAAATTGTAATGGAAACGTGGATAAAGTGAGCCTGGCCTACCAAGGCCTAACTATACCGTACTAAGCCGTGCGAGGCCCTGCAGTGGAAATGCGCCATAAGCCCCAGTGCATGGAAATCTGCAAGTCCTTTTGAATGCAGGGGAGTCTGATGCTGTAGTGTTTCTCTTTGTTCTGTTCTAACCCAGCTCACTGGTGTGTGCACTTTTCACAAACCATAAACAAGTGTTGTCTTACCAGATAGAGCAGAAACGTGTGCAGGCCGGTCCCGAGGCCCACTGAGGACAGGATCCCGAGACCCACCCAGTACGCACACCATAGAAACCTCTTCTCCAGGTAGCTAACCCACTGCAGGGGAAGAAAGTAACAGAAAACTGATTAGAAAAGACCGAAAAAACGCATTAATGCATTATTTTAGTTTTTACAGTTAATTACTGTTTGTGTCTTTCATTAACTGTTGGATCATGTACTCATATTTAATATTTGTAATGTTTAACATGACTCTCTGTTGTTGTCAAGGTTTGATTATAGCCAAAAGCAATACATATTAATAAGCAAATAATTTCTTTTTTCGTTTTAAGTTATTGTTGCATTAGATTATTATTATTTTTTAGAAGGAAATGGGTTTATTTTGATATAATACACAAATATAAAGTATAAATATTATACATATTTGAGGAAACTTAAAAAAATTGTAAGAAATGCACTTTATAATAATTATATTAAAATAATTATATTTTTGTATTTACACATTCTTATTCTTTTAATTTATGGGTGCAATAATTTCCAGCTGCAGAAAAAAGGAGCTCATTTAAATGTATTTTTTATTTCACATACTGGGTAGCACTTATAAAGTTTAAATGTGCATATAATTTGTAATCTCATTGTTTATTTTAATATATTTCTACCTGTAGAGCATTACTTTGATGCATTGTCAGGTGTCCTTGGATGCCTCCAAATAAAATGTATTATGATTAAATTATTTGTAGTGAATTACATATTACCTCATTACATCATTATAAATGTGAACAATCTAGAAAGATATAAGAATCTATATTGAAGCTTGTAACAAACTGTAGCGGACCTTGAAGCCGACTGATTGTATGTCCAAGGGTTACTTGACAACAGTGCGTACTTCATTATCTCCCAACACAAGCTTCCCTCGAGGAATGTTTTAGATGGATAAAGAGTGAGTTATCATTAACCTTTAAACAGGCTGTTGGTGGAGCAATGGTGTTGATTATTAACATCACTGAAGTCAGGAGAGCCTTACTTGTTGGTGTGAGCCCTCCGTGGAGTAGGCGAAGGAGAACAGAGAACATAACACCAGAACTAAGGACACCAGGCCTCGTCGCTGCCAAAGCCTGAAACAAAGAAATCAAACAAAATGTTCCAACACAAAATGTTCCAACATAAAAAATTGAACAATTGTGTCTTATCTCTTATATTTTCTTGTAGAAATGACTTTTTGTTATAGTTATTTGTGTGTTTGCGCAATCTTACAAATATCTCGGTCAACTAGCTTTGAACCTGGAGACCCTGAACCTTAGACTGGAGCCACGGTAACGCAAACAATTCGATATTCATTTACCGGTATTCTCTTGTTTTTTTTTATAACTATAATGATCATATAAAACGTGTGCCTCGGAAATAATTGTTTACATTAATTTTGTATCTTTTTTTTAATTTTTTTTAATAACCACTTTTCCTCCTGGTCTCTTGATATTCTCATATCATGGTGCGGTCACCCTGTCATGCCTCTGCACCCCCCAGGGGGGGCGCGCCCGCCACTTTTGGAACCACTGGTCTATATGATAGAGAACTGTAGCAGATACGACCGTTACCGTTCTCGTGTGGCTGCAGCCTCAGACAGTTACAGCGGTAACTAGTTCTGTGTGAAATGCTGACTTTGCACACAGAGTGTTAGCTTATTCTTTTGGGCCAGAGGTTAGTTTGACCAAATTGTAGAACAAAGCGTTTTAAAAACAGCTTTAATCCAGCAGGCATCGCACAAGTAACAAGTTGTAGCAGCATCAAAGAGAGGCTATGGAAGCAATGCCAATTTATTTATTTATTAACTTGCTGGATACTTTTTTTTTTTAAAGATTTCCTTGTTGCCTGTGTTGTTTTAAAACATGTGTCACACAATGGATCCCTTTTCTTTTATCTGCAAACCAAAACCAAATAAACAACCTGAACCTGCTTTTCTTATTGGTGTTCAAAACAAAGTCCCAAAAAAACAAATAAGGTCACAAGGAAGCACAAACATCCTGAAAAATGTAGCACGACAAAAAAGAGAGAGTAGAGAAAGCGGTTTGACTTCTTACTGAAACGTCCACTCCTTTAGCTTGATGAGGGTCTCCAGAAGGAAGTAATGTATTGTGGTGACGGGCCTCCTCCAAACCACCAGAGACAGGCGCTCCTCCTTATCCCTCTGTCGCCTCTCTCTAACTGAAGAGTCTGGAGAACAAACAGAGTTGCAATCACTTTTACATACTACGACATCTGTTTCTACGTCAATTATATAATCTTGTTGAAATGGTAATGCTAAATACATGATACTATGACATGACGGTTGCTGCTTTGAAAACTGAAAGTAACAAAGTGAATCACGCTTTTTACGACTTTTTCAAACCATGTAGCGCTTATCGTTCTGTGTCATCAGAGATAACAAGGGGTAAACTCTACAGGGTCACTTCAGATGAGCGGTGACTTCTCGAACTTCGTGAAAAGTTTAAAAAGAAAGTATTGCAAAATAAAAGTAAAACATGTTTTTTTATTCAAACAAACGAATATTTTACATTTACAGATTTCACTATATATTTAACCTGTGTATTTGTTTGTTGTACGTTTGTTTCTTGACATTTTTTATAAACAAAAGTATTAGCAAGAAAGTAAATATATATAATTTTAGAAGGTTTATTTGAATTCCTCCTTCTCTATATCTAATAATTCTTTTTGTACTTAACAAAAACAGCATTTCCCAGTTCTTAATGTGTTTATCATTCAAAGCTTTAAGGTTTTGTGTCTTAATAAGTACCATGTAAGATGCTAAGCCTATGTTTTGTGTGTTTCAGGATCTGCAAACTGTTTCAAAAAGACAAAAAAACCTACCTATTGCTTTGCCATTCTGTTTGCCTTTGGCTCCAGCCCGTTTCTGTGGCTGCTCACACTTTGCTCCATTGGCTGCCATGGCAATCGAGGTTTCAGCCGGTCAGGCAGTTCAGGAGGAAGGTAAGTTTGTGTCTCTGGCTCAACAACGTCCTCTCCGCTGTAGTTTCACTTCCTACTGAGCAAGAGAACATGAGACGTTGTGTGACTGTCACAACTTCTTACCAATTACTCTTAAGCAATACTACATTCAGAGAAGTAAGGAGTACTCACATCTTTTACTTAGGTACAAGTAGCAATATTAAACTGTTAACATCTCTGTTACAAGTAAACGTCTGAAGTAAAAGTGCAATATGCCATTAAGTTATACTTTGAGTACAAAAAGTTAAAGTACTAATTTCACTGTATATCAGATTAAATAAACGAACATCTTTTGTATTATATGTTTTAATTCATTAATGTCAATGTTGCACAAGGTGGGGATTCTTTACATTACTTTATATACTGCTGGTTAGCTGAACCTTTACATTAATACATAATGAGTTATGCTTGATTTATATTCGGAGTATTATAATCCATATATATAGCTAGTAACAAATCTTTTTGAGTAAAAAGTCAAAACAATGCCTCAAATGTAGAAGTAAAAGTATAACATAAAAAATACTCAAGTGAAGTACAAGTGCCTCAAAAGTGTACTTGAGCAAATGTAGTTAGTTTCATTCCAGTGACTACATCAAACTGTCAGTGTGAAAATATCGTCAACACGCAAACTGGCATTGAAAATATATGGTAATAACTAAGAGAAAACATCAAACGAAAAGATAAAACGAAGGCACATATATTACTGACTGCATCACGGCAATAACACCTGTGGTAAACTGAAATAACTTCAGTTCTGTGGGTCAGTCTGAAACAAGATACGATGACAAATGCGTGCACATCATCCTCCACATGCTAACCGGTTAGCCATGCTAACGGCTAAGCTAGGGAGCTAGGCAGCTTCTACACTAAAACAAGGGGTTTATAACCAATAACGAGTCGCCTTACTTGTGGTGAGGTATCAAAAATAAATCCTTATCGCTGTGGTGTTGTAGTTATGACAAAAATATATGCCAAATAAAAGGGAAAGAGATTGCTGTTGCTAAAAACCAACTGACAAGTCGTACCTCTTTCCTGTGCTCTTCACCCGGTAACAAACGTTGGACTTGTCAAAGTAAAATCGGTGTAGCGGTTTGGTGGTGAATAATTGTCTTTAAACACGTTTTTGTCAACTATATAGAGTAACATGAGACATTTTAAATACATGGAAGACAGATTAAGTAATACTATGGCACTTTCTTACCTTCAAATTAAAATAAGATAACATTTCTAAAGTAGATACTTTTATTGTGAAGATCAATTGAGGACGTATTTCCGCCAGTTTAGTTTTACTGTCCAATCAGTGGTTGCCAGATTTGCCAACAAAGTGTGAGGATTGCAACACTCGCAATGTGTGTTAATATCACCTTGAGACATGAAGCAATATCTCAAAACGGATGATGCCATTAGCCACAAATCAATTCCCTATAACTTAAGAGAAAAAGTATTAGAAAGTAAATATTTATTTAAATCAAACAAATTAAATTTTTCAGAAGGTTTATTTCAAATGTGAATGATTTCAATTTATTTGATGTATTATTTTATTTTTCGTTTATTTTTATATCGCCTCCTTTTAAAAAAAAATATTTTTCTTTAAAAAAAATCCTACAAAGAAAGTATTAGAAGGAAGGAACAAAACGTATTCTATTTAAATACGTTTCATCTTTAGAAAGTTTATATAATATTGAATGCATTATTTTATTCGCAGTCGGTGTCAGGGTTTTATCAGTTAATAGTTTTCTCTAAGCAAGGTTTTTTTTTTAACTTCATATATAATGAAAAACAAACGTTAAATATATGGAATATAGAAACAATTCAATTGATAGGATTACATTTCTAAAGGATGTATGTAGGTCATTCTCATTCACAATGAGCAACCCATTCAATTTATCGAGTCACACACACACAACATATAAGCCGTGCACTTTCCTGGATGAAAGAAAATCTGTGTAAGCTGAAGAAAAACCCACAGGACTGTTTCTTTGTTTTATTACGACATTGAATGAAGGCTTAGTATGCATTTTGGGTGTCAGACTCTACCAACATATATATAATGTATTTACACACATGTATGCCATACACCTAATCTTCACATTGCTTTTCATTAAGTTAAATTGACTTTTCTGAACACAAAAAACAAAAATTAAAGCTCTTAATTCTGTGTTATTATAATAACTAGAGACATATCCAAAAATATATTTATACCAACAAATCAGTCAGTGTTAGCAGGATTTATCAAAAGAAGAGTCAAATATTGACCAACTAAATGCTTTGGTTCTCCCTCATATCAACATCAACTTTATGTCCCAAAACAAATGTGTGTGTTAGCACAAAACAATGATAACTTAAACAGAAGTGGACACGATGATATGAAAAACACACAGCAAAGTGACATGGTTGCACTCCATCCATCTAACAGGATTGAATGCAGATCATCCGCACCGCAAACTAGAAACCCAGAATCAAAGTCCCCCATTGGCTGAAGGAGACATTACAGCTTATAAGGTTACTAATGAACTGTAGGCACGGGTTTAGCAGATGGCTCGTATATTCCAGGAGAGTAACCCAAGCAGGTCGTGATGGGGGAGTCCTCTATCATTCGTCATAGTGAAGTGAAGACAGGAACTTGTCCACATCCAGGTCAAGGGGGAAACAATCTACAAGTTTCTTCTTTTCCTGCAGATTAAAAAACAAAGTCAGAATCACATGGAAAAAAACAAACCACCTCTAGGACAGGGGTGTCAAACAGGTGTGTTCATTTTATGTGGCCCATCCACCGCTCTGTAAACTTGGTATCCTGTTCAGGGTCACCCCGGGCAGACTGCCAGTCTATAACAGGACCAACACATGTAGACACACACTCACACCTACAGAGCTTCCAGTGCACTGTATCCTATGTCAATTGAGGACATTCCGACTGGTTCAGGTTTAAGTGTAAAGACTAGGGATGCTCCGATCGCCAATTTTGGGGCCGATCGCCGGAATCAGTATCGGCCGATACCAATCGCCTATCCGATCGAGTGGGCGGGGCCTATGGGGATCTTCCATTTAAAGTGATGTTTAAAACTCAGTAAATGGGACTCATTCACTGGCGCTTCCAAAAACAACAACCAACATAATTATTACATTCACAAAGTAGATTATTCAAGTTTACATTAACTTTGGATAATAACATGGGAGAAATAACGGGAGCCTCTCTCTCCCCCTCCCCCTCTCTCTCTCTATCTCCTGAAAGCCTGTCAGTATCGTCTCATGCAGCTCACTGGTCCAGTAATGAGTGACCCGACAGTGAAGAATAAACATATTTATAACTAGTTTAGCTTGTTCCAGAGGTAGATAAAATAGCTAAGTGTGTTAGGTCTAACTCTAAGTGTGTGTTTCGCTCCGCTCACCGGTCCGTCACAGCGGGCGGAGCTGCAGGATTTCTGCTTCATGCACGTTGCATACCGCTCATTTTCGGACACGTTAAAATACTGCCAGACTGGTGAAGCCATTTTGGCGAGCCTGTTTTGCCGCGCACAGAGAAAAGTGTCATGTATTTTATGTCATGTGATCGGCTCTCATGATCGGCCTTTATAGAGAGCTCCGATCGATCGGCAGAGTGAACATCGGCCGATATCGATCGATCGGAACATCCGTAATAAAGACCAAGCTCAACTTTCAGAAACGACCTCTGGAGGGATCACTAGAGGAAAAGGGAAAACCCCAACCGTGCCCTTTTAAGAGATAGATAGAAGAGGGGTTGTATGAGGTGCTTATCCAACGCGACTAGTTGGAAGAAACGGTGTATTGGTGGATTGATAGAAAGTGAGTGAAAAACGAGTCGATTTTGATGATTTCTTGTTTGCAAAGATTGAATTGTTATTTTCGATCCAAAATATAAAAAGATCCTTTATTGCAGCCGTTTAAATGACAGGACATGCAGCTTGCCTTTGTCTCATTTGAGGGAATACCTTTAAAAGTTAAGAGTAAATAGGCAACATCCCCTTTGAGCTTGACAAAGTAAAAAACGTTCCAGTGTTTCCTGATAATTATAAGACCAACCCATTCATCGAAAAATAATAAAAATGTTCGTGATTTACAGTTCTATATCTAACTATATCGGAAAACAGAACACTGAGGAAGCAGAACGTGTCTAGAACAGACAACAGGGAACGTTTAAAACACCATAAAACATTTTAAACATGGCCGATCCTCGTGTTGTACTCACCCGCTCAGTCGTTTTGCTTGAAGACTGTTTCGTCTCTTTCTTCGCCTGCGGGCTGGATGTGGGAGAAGACAGTTTTCGTTTTTTAGAGATCTTTGAGCTGGTGGGTGAATGTTCTCCCACTTCCTCCTGACGCAGACTGTCCTTCAGTGGAGTGCCGGTCCTGGCGATGGCGGCACGTGAGAGGATCATGAGTGTGTGGGCGGCCATGTTGATGCTGTTCTCGCTGCCAGCCTCACTGGCCGGGCTGCAGGTGGGGACATCGGGGGTGTTGGGAGGCAGAAGATGCTTGGGAGTGCCCTCTCCGTCTCTACATTTCCTCAGTCGGGAGGGAGTCCAGGGACGATCAGCTGACTCCTCCTGGGTACGTCCTGGGGTCCTTGGGAGTTCTGTACTGGCTGCTCCAGGCCTTTTACCAGGGGTGGAGGGAGAGTTGAGCCCCTGGATGTCCTGCAGCATCTCAGCCGCCTGTTTGGCCAGAGAGCTGGTCTTTGAGGGGGCCTTCGAAGCCTTGGGTTGAGGTTGAGATGCCGGCTGGGGGACGGCTGGAGGGTCCCTTAACGTCGAAGATGATGGCTGCTCTTTCACGCTTCCCTTAATTTCATTCTCTTTGTTGGCGGTGACATTTGGAATTTCCTGGGAGGGAGTCTTCTTCTCTGAACGCCCCTCCCGTGTTTTGCCAGAAGCCTTTTCCGTTGGCTCTTTCCTGCTGCTGTCCTCCTTCTCTTTTCTAGTTCCTGACGATGACCTAGAAGTACGAGATTCCTTAGCTTTTGCTCCATCACCCTCCTTATCATGACTGTGCTTCCTGTTCTTTGAACTCCTTGCTGATTTGGAGCTTTTCTCAGTCTGTGAGGCCTCGACCATGCTGGTACTGGCACTCTGCGTCTCTTGGCTTTGGACGCTGTGATCTTGTTTGCGGGAGATCTTTTTGGGAGGGTCTTTCTGTTGTGGCGGTGTGGGCTTCTCCGCCTCCTTCATGAAGGCCTCAGCGGTCTGGGGATCTGCTGAGCATCTGACCGTCTCTATCCTCCTCTTGGGCTTGTTCCCACTTAAGATGGAAGGTTTTGTTCGAGTCACTGACTGCGTGTTATCTTTCTCACGCTGCTTCACAGATCCTGATGGAGTTTTGTTTTTAGGTGGAAATTTGCTGGACCTTGTTGTTTTGGCAGTTTGTTGTTGAGCTTCTGCAGAAGATTCAAAACATAAAATCCTCCTGTGTGTAGAAGCCTTCGCAGTCTCCTGCTGGACTGTGCTTAAAGCCAAAACAGGTGGAACCGACGTACCAACCAGGTTTCCAGTGCCTGGAATTCAGAGAAAAAAGGTCAGAGAAGTAAGGCAGTGACATTAAAACATCATTCGGTAACGTAAATAAAGGATTTTTTCACCATAATATTGCCAATAGCTAACTCACCTGCAGGTATAGACTGTTTGAGTGCCACTGTGGGAGAACTGGGCTTTTCTGACGGCTGTACTGGTACTGGGTTCTGAATGGCAACAAGCTGTGAAGAAAACAATCTTAAAACGTTTATTGTTCCGTATATTGCTTAAAGTATACAACCCTTAATGCAGCTGTTCATTAAACCACACACTACACGATTAAAACATCCTGGATAGAAAGAAAACAAATGTATTGTTTTTGTGAAGTTAGCCGTTAAGGAAATACCTTATGACTACTAATGGCAGATCAAATGATTTACCTGATTTGAAACCACCTGGACCGTCCCCAGAGAATTTGGCCCCATGACTGAAACAGGAAGTATCATGGGCTTAGCCGGTGATGGCAGGATGAGTGCTGGCACTGCACGAAAGAACAGATTAAAAACAGGGTTAAGCAGCACTCATACCATTAGAAATAACAAAAGTAACACTTCCTTAACCAAAACTCCCTACAGCTCACATCCCAAGGAAGTGAGGAAAAAAAACAACAAATAAAACGTACAAACTTAATTTCAAAAGATGCAACAAAAGTAAATCAATAGGGTAAATGCAGGAATCCTGAAGTCAAATGTAATACCTTTTAAGACCCTTTCCATACATTTTAAGACCTCATCGCCACTTGGAGTTTTAACCGGTTACCTTGGTGACACACTTTACCTCACATTGACTATATACAGTATTGATTGTCCTTTATCCTTATCTTCCAACCATTTGGACGCAAACTTGCATTTCCCCATAACGATGTTGTTTAGCAACCGGCGTAAACGGAGCTTCGCGCGCTATCAAGCAGTGAGCGTGCGATGTCCTGTTCAGATGACGTCAAATCCAACGGGATGCCATAAATAAACTACACAGAATCACACT